GCCTGGGGACCGATAGGAAAGGAAAAGAGGCAAGACGAGAGGGAAAAGGAGGGGGCGAAGGCGGAGGGGGGCGAGCGAGCAAGAGAAAGATGGGCTGTAGGTAAGGTGGGAGGAGGGTTCGGCCGCGGGGTCGGGTACTTTGGCGACAAGTGAAAACGGCCCGAGCCCGCGCGTGACGCCGCCGCTGAGGCCGGCGGGCTGCCCGCCCGCGTGGTCGTCGCGCAGGCAAAAGTGACAAAGTCAGACAGCGCGCCGAGACAAAAACATTATACGAGAGCTAAATCGCGTCCCTTCGCCGACGACGACGTAAAGTGCTGTGTCCTGTCGTGCGACCGGCGACCCTAACCACCCAAACGAGCAGCGCGCGGGGACTCACTTTATACCGCACAAACGGCGAGAGAAAGGGAGGCGGCGGCGGCGAAGCTTGTTGGAGTAAAACCCATGTCGATACGAGGGGCGCACCTGGCCATGGGGCTCCCACGGTGGTGCGGGCGTTGCCACCGGTCATAGGAGGGCACCCATGGGGACCTCTGTCTCTCTCGCACACCGATCCGGCAAAGGGCTGCGCGGCCGGGCGCACACGCAAGACCGAAAAATATAAAAACATTTATTAAAACCCATTCGCGAGGCGGGGCGGGACGGGCCCGTGCGGGTGGAGCTGCAGCGGTGCGCAGCGCGCTTATGACGGCCACATAGGTGTGTAATTAAGGCGGCGGGGAAGGCCCCGCTATTGGCTAATTAAAAGTATCCTCGGCACTGTCATTGGACTGTCGAGCTCCTGCCAACGACTCCTGCCAGCCTGTGTGCCTCTCAAAGCCTTCCCTCCCTCGAGTTATTCTTTTTTATCTGAGCATCTCATCCGCACCCATGAGCGACGCGCCGCCGCGGGAAAGAGAAACTCTTTTTCCAGGTGGTGCATGGCATGGTCCCCAGCAGGGCTCATAACCATCAGTGTTGATAATGACGGAATGGTCGTCGCGCGGAGAGCGGCGATACGCTGGCTTGGTGCGAGAGATTCGTTCATTAGGCCACGCCAGCGCGGAGACACTCGGGAGACACTCGAAACGCCACACCAAGAACACAACAAAAGGGACCAAAATGCAATGGAGTACAAGGCGGAGTTGGGGGTAAAGAGGTTAGGGGTTGGGTTTCGGGTAGGGATTTGAATTTTCTGGTGGGAAACTCCAATAATTTTTTGGAAAATCTCTTATTTTTTTCTTAAAAAGTTTCATTTTTTGCCAAGTTTTCTGGCAATATTTCAATTTTTTCCAGTTTTTTCTGGAACAGTTTCGAGTTTTTTCAGGAAAAATATCAGACTTTAAAATTCCTAGTTGTAGGGCCCCGAAAGATAGAGGGAGCCGGAGCCATAGCAGATATCATTACAACGAGTCCTGGCCGCTGCTGCCCGCACCGCACCGCCCCCGCGCCGATCGCAGTTCCTCTCCTCCTGTGCGAGACATTCTCTCGAGCAGCGAGAGACTACTCCAGGAGCGGGGGAGAAGGGACACTGTCCGAGACAGCGTGACATGATCGTGTCCCCCGTAATGGCCGGCCGCCCGTCCGTCCGGCGATCGGCCGCACGGCCTTTCTTTGTCCACGCAAACCGGTGTGCCGTGCCGCGCCTGCTTTCTCACGGCCCACCTGCATTCTAGACCGCTCACCGGCGGCGCGCTCACCACCACCGGCCCGGCTGCCCGCCCCCATGGCAGGCCATCACGGGCGACACCACCGGCCCTCGGACCGAGGTACTGGACCGGAAGCGGAAGCAGCCGGACATCGGCAGGCCGTCACGACCACGACGTCGTCCAGGGCGGAGCAGAGGAGCGAGCGGCGCCCCCCGTCATCTCAAAGACTAGTGTGTAGGTCCCGCGAAGGACCTCGCCAAATACGAGGGGAAGTTCAGGAGTGCTCCATAGGAGGCTCCAGAAGTGCACCAGGAGTGCCCAGGAGTGCCCAGGAGTGCACCTGGAGTGCACCAGAAGTGCGCACCAGGAGTTCGACCCGGAGTGCTCTAAGAGTGCTTCAGCGGTGCTCCAAAAGTGCTCCACAAGAGCTCCACAAGAAATGCTCCTGAAGTCCACTAGGAGTGCCCTAGAAGTCCACTAGGAGTAGGAGTGCTCCAGAAGTCCACTAGGAGTCCCCTAGAAGTTTACTAGGAGTGCTCCAGGAGGACAGGAGGTAATATCCATCCTGGTACTCCATGAGCTCTCCGGGGCGGCGCGGTACGGCGAGACTTTCCATTAGAGCAGCGCGCCGTGCAATATCCTATATTTGGGCCGATCGTCATTCCTCCACGTTTGGGCTTTTAATGAAGGAAGCGGGCGGCGTCGCGACGCTATCCGGCGGCGGCGGGTGGGCGTCGCGGCGGCGGCGAGCACGGCGAACACGGCGAGCTTTCGACAAGGAAGAGCAGCACGCCGAGCCCCTCGCGGAGCCCCCCCGCGCCATAATGGACACGACACTTATCGAGACAGAGAGGATGCGCGCATTTTCACCTGTCGTAAAGCGCGCGCGCGCGCGCGCTCGCGCCGCACGCGACTCGAGCAGCGCCGCGAAACAACATGAGGGGCGGGGGACTACATGTAGTGCTGCACGATGTGCAACGTGCAGGGCCATTAGCTCGGCGCGCGCCGCCGCTGCTTTGCAATGAGTCGATCAGCAGCGGCCGGGCGGCAGGTGGCTACCGGGCCCGGGGGGCCGGGAGGCACGCACCGGGGCGGGGCGAGGCAGGGCGAGGCGCACCTTACAGAAAAATATAATACGGGCCGGCAAGTGGACGCGGACGTCGCGGCGGGAGCAATAGACCACAGAAAAACAGGGGTATAGTCGCCTCTCGCGTAGACCGAGGTCCGCGACGTCGCAGGCAGGAGGAGCAGGCCAACAACACCTGCGCAACAAACAGCATCATCGCACATCATAGCCGCGCGGTCCGTTTTAAACGGTGCGCGCGCGCGCGCACGGCGCGTCCAGTCCGAGTCCGGCGTTGCAGGGCGGGGCGGGGTAGGGCAGGGCGGGGCGGCCGCGCGAGGCGCGAAGGGGCGTGGTCCCGTCGGCAGGTGCGCGCCACGCGCCAGCGCGGCACGCAGCACAAGAGCTTGCAGCGAGGGCGCAGCGCACTGCTCGCGGCACACACACACACACACACACACACACGTGCAATTACCGAGCCATTACCCTATTGACTGCCGATACACGTCCCCCCTCATTACACCACCAGGCCGGCCGCTCATTTACGCCCCGGGGAGATGATATTGACTCGCTGCACCGCTGCTGTATGTATCCGCGCCATTACCCGCCCGCGGCACGCTTGCCAGCCGGAGCAGCGCGGATGTGCCGGAGCTGCTGTTGGGGGGACGACACGCGGCCGGGGGAGGGAGAGAAACAGGTGTCTTATGGGCTCCGCGCACGGGCCTCTGGCTTGGCTTGGCCTGGCTCGCGAGGTGTCATTTACCCCTAGAGAGGGCCACTTCTAGAGGACCCCCCCCCCCCATACCCCCCTAGAGGGGCCGGTCACGCTGTACAGTCGCCACTAATTACACACAACGCGTCGCGGCGTCGTCGTCGTGGACCTGGAGCGTGACAATAAGGCACACGCCACGCGTCGCATAGCCACAACACAAGAGACAAGAGAGGAAAGCGATGGTACGAAATGGTTTTTATTATTTTTATAACATATAAAGAGAAGAAAAAGAGGACGTGCGATACGAATTACAGACAGCGTCGTCAAAGCAACCACACCGCCCATCCGAGTGTACGAACGGCTTTATCACATGACGCCTATGTTGTTATCATCTTTATACCATGTGAGAATTGTTTTCTTTTTGTTTTACAAGGAAGTGTACGCGGATATCAAAACGCAGCGAAAGACGCGCACCGCAGCCAGCTCATTCAAGATAAAGGAAAAAGAAAAGTAGCTGATCACGGGAAAGTGTAAAGGTAAGTTCTGAGTCGCGTCGCGTTTCCGCCGTCACTCCTGCCGGCGGGCCCCGCCCGGCCCCTCCTCAAGAATGATTGGCCGCGGGTCCCTTCCAGGTCCCTTCCAGGTCCCTTCCCCCTCACCTGCCTCGCGGCCGTGATGGCCGTCAAACGGATCGAGGGCGTCAGAGCTCGGCGTCGCCTTGGGATGACGAGACAGCAGCAGCAAGCCAGTCGTTGTCCTCCTCTTCCCTTTCAAAAATCACAGCTGGAAAAAAAAAGATAAAACAAAATAAACCTGAAATTATTGTTTTTTTCCATGGGAGGGATCTTGTTTAAAATTGAGAACAAGAGATCAGATAGAACACAACATACAGTTGTTGCTGTAAGACGCCTTTGCATATCGCCGTTTACCCATTTCAGACCAACAGCACGACACCAGAATACAGCAGCTAGCTTTCCCCTGTCGCCTCCAAATCGACAGGGCGGCCTGGGCTCTGGGCGGGCGGAGGCAAAGCGGCACCACCAGGCGTTACAGACGAGGTACTAGAAGGGGGCGTGGCGGGCCGTGGCGGGGCGGGGGTCACCTCGGCAAGACATCAACGAGAGACATCAGCTCAGTACACGCCCTCGAGCACAACACTATTTTTTCCCATCGGCCCAAATAAGTCACGGGTCATTACAGGTG